GTCGACAAATTTATAATATATCAACATATCTTTGAATTGTCGTCATTTCCAGCATCTCATTACCCACTGAATGCATTTGATTGAAACTGCATAAGACCTGAATAATGTAATGTGAATATGAACTAATAATTAAGTGTTCAGGTTTTGAGTAAATAATCTGTCTCCATAACCATTGATTGAAGGTGTCCTCTGGACCTCACAGTCATGTCTGATCAAGTTTCATAACTCTTGCTTGAATTATCTCCCTTCCAATAGAGCAGTATTTTTTTCATCATAATAGTTTAAATGTAATATCAAAGGCAATTAAAATCAATGACACTTTAATACTTAAGTCTTATTGACAATGATGATTCAGCTCTGTATCACATGTACATAGCCTAGCCAGCCTTCTTAATTTGCCTGCCTGTAATTATATACTTTGTGAGCAAAAAAATACAAATTGAAAATAGGTTTCCATACATGCAAAGTGGGATAAGGTTATTTGTTTGTTTTTGTCATCTTCAAGACTATAGATTTTTTATTGATAAAAAGTGAAACATTATATTAGAGTTTGGTAGGAAAACAATAAACCAAACAGATTTTATATGTCAATTTAATTATCTACTGTCAGCAGGTGCTTCACTGAATTTTATTGTTAACACACCTGTAAAATATATCCCCTCCAATATTGAGCAGCTGTTTTCTATATATTTAACTTTTTGTTTTACTACATGCACCTTTCTTCCTTGATTGTATCAGAGAAAACTACGAAAATACATTCTAGAAGTCATAATGTTGAAACAGTCTTTAAAGATCTATTAAATCACAAGGAAAAACTATTCAGAATATTATTGCATGTTGTATTTTGTATGTTTGTTGTTGGTTGCTTTTTTTCACAATAATAAATCGAATTTGAGCATGTCTGTTTTGTAATTATGTTGAATGTCTTATAATATTTGGGTCTAATATATATAATAATACCCCATGGAGAATTCCTGATTTAATGAAATGGGAAAATAATTATAGCTCTGTTTGAATACATGGTTTTTTGGCAAGAGTTCTGAATACAAACATGTAGCAGTATTTTTTTCTTTCCTTTCTAGTTATATCTATGGATATAATACATTTTTGTATTCACAGATGTTTTTTTCCCCAAAGATCTTTAAAATATAATAGAGCATAATTGTTAAGAACATCTTGATAAACATAAAATCGGTAAGACAAGTAGAGAGTAAGAAAAAAGTGATGTACATCATTACCCATATAGACATTTCTTTACAAGCATTGTGATGTTGCTCTACTCAAGTTTAGAATCATGTTTAAAGACATAATACCATCATCATGCACTGTTCCTGGTTTTGTGGCTTTTCCATATTTTCTTATCTTTTGCTTCTTTATTATTCATTCATCATTCACGCCAGCAGTTTCACTGTTAATCACCACGCCTCTTTCTTATTCCATTACAGTATAGAATAGGTTCAGAGACCGAAAGTATGAATAGTATTAGTAGTACAGATGACACGTTTCAATGGGGAGGGCCCCAGGACGACTCGTTACGTTACGGAGACGAGTCGCACGGGCTCATGGACTCGTGCTTGTGAGTATTTATTCAGAGCGAGACATATAACCATTATTAACAACATACTCCCTGTGCTTGAGCATGCTTTGTGTGCCTAACATTAACACATGATTGTATTTCAGAGTGATGGCAAGATGACCATCATTGAAGGATGCCGGCAGTTCCTTACATTATTATAAACCCTTAACCTGCTACATTTGATAAAGCTAAACTTGACTAGCTTTCATTGATGGAAATGTTTATTATCAATTTTTGGGTTACTAAGATGAAAATTTAAAAGTGAAAAATGTATATAGCCACAAGTCCTCCTGTATGGCCTGGCTCTTTACTGGTGGCAATTAAAGGCTTGTCACTTTTTAGGTTCTCTAGCAGGGTAAGGGTTAAATTTCACATTCATCTTTTTTGCACATTGAAATATATCAAAATGCAACTCAGTTTACATTTTGTTTGATTTCATTAACATAAATAATAATGCATATAAAGCATGGCAATTTGGTAATTTTCATTTATATTGCATGACAATCTTTAAGCTTACTGTTATCATAGCCAACATACATATTTTACATTTCTTATTATGCTTAACCATTCTTCGAACAACTGTATACACTTCTACAAGATTCTTTATAGCATTTTCATGTTCTTAAAGAAAAAATTCATATATTATTGACAACAATGATTTTCGTCAATTCATTGTCATGCCACATTTTCTTGCTATATTTCATTCAAGGTGTTCTTTTGGAACAGGTTGTTAAAGCATTGTTGAGTGAAAGTAAAGTGATACTGCTGTAATGTTGTTGTATGTGATATATATTAATTTTAGTCTCACATATTTATAGGAGTGTTATGTGTAAAGGTCATAATGAAATTTTCTGTAGAAAATATGTATACATGTCTGTTATAATGTGCTGTGTGCTGGTTGCTTTGACATTAATCCTTCCCTGTGTGATTTAGTTAGACAGTTTTTGTGATGTAGAGTAGATTATTTGTATTTATTACATTATAAAGGTTTCTTCACCTGTACCATGCTTAATATATTGAATGGACCAATCTAGACATAACCATTCAACATTGTTGAGGAAACTTTCAAAATAAGTACTGGCTAAGAATAGCAGACAGCACAGATCAGATGGCATGGCTGTGCAGGCTGATCTTAGTCTGCATTGGTTGCACGGGTAGACTCTTTTGTCGTCAGCAGACTAAAGGTTAATTGTTTTAATCAGTTTTCTTAACCTTCTTGTAATATCCTCCATGTTAAATTAAGGGATTTGCCTTATAAGGAGAATAGGTTATATTTATTATGAAATGATATTGAACCTAATCCTTTAGGTACGGCAGGCATTTGTCAAGGTTATATGGTGTGAGGCAATAAGTGTTACACTAAGTTTTCCGTTAATTCTAAGTTGAAAGGTTGATCCATGCAGGGATCTGGTGGTTTAGTACTGGTATAAAATCTGGAAGCACTTGTTGCAAGATTGCTTGCTGTTTTAATGCATGTAAAATTGTTACAACTGATGCATGAATGGCACAAAGAAACAGCTTCTGTGGTTTATCAATACACATAAAATGACTTAAAATATATTTTATAATGCTTTATGCTCGAGCTATTAACACTTACATTAACTTGTGTGGTTTTACCAGACACATTTAGTGTGATACATCTTAACTTTTAAAATTTTGCTAAATTATGATCAGGCCTAAAGTGTGAAGATCACCATAGAACATGTAAATCAGTTCACAGACTTGCCTTTCACTTTTAGGTTTGCATATTGCCGAAGACAATATAATTTTTTTTAAAGATAACTCATACTAAATGTAGAATGCAGAAAGTTGTAGGTTCTACAAGGGTTTCCAATTTGTACATTAAACTGGTGTCTCGAGTTAACCTCATCCCAGTTAAAGCTGGAAAGTCAACACATTGACCTTAACAGTCCAAAAAATTATGTTACAAATCTTTAATCTACCGGTATGTATAAAAATATCTTATATAATTCATTCATTCATAAACTTTTGTTTTTATAAATTTAAATAAAGTTGAAGTTTTAGTAGGTACTTAAAGCCATGTTATTTTGACATTTTTACTGTCATAATATAAACTAGAGTTTATTTGACACTCCTTTGATTAGGTCACTGCATATTTTCAACAAATGGTGACATGATGTGTCATAGATATTATAATGTTTTATTTGTTTAACGTATATAAAAGTTTGATAAAAGTAATATATTAAAATTCACAATACTGGCTTATTGGTATTCTGACCACACAAGTTTACTATAATTGTCAAATTTCGAGCTGTCCAGTGCGTGTTTTGGTAGAATGTGTGAATTATGAACGAGGGTTGACACGATGGCTCATTTAATCTAAGGAATTTTGATTGACATTCTATCCGGTCTGGCCTTCTGTCAATAATTGAAAATATGCCTGGTGTTAATTGGATATCATAAGTTATTTTAAGATATATTGATAAGTAATAAGTAAAATCACTGAAGAATTTGTTTATGCCTTACATGTAATTAAGTATAAAACAATTAAACTTCTGAAAAAATATCTGTACAATAAGCCTTGTTTAAAAAATTAGTACTGAAAGCCTAAAACATACATATTTAAAACAGAATTATGAATTATGCAAACAATAATGCAATATACTGTAACATCCAGTTTTAAAATTTAATAATAAATCTTAAATAAATGATTAATGTCATTATTAGTCAGAGTGAAAAGCATTTCATTTTTGAGTCATTTTGCATATAAATAATAATGATTCTTAAGCAAATGATCTGAAATAGTTGCTCGCATTTAGTTATTGGTCCAGACCTACATCAAATGGTACACAAATATTGAAAAAATATTACCATTCTTGTAATGTCAAGAAAACTTAATTGGAGGCCTTTCTTCTAGGATATAACTGTTTTCATGCATGATAAATATTAAGTTGCTGTACTGACATATTCTGGCTCAATGTCTATTAAATCTGCTTTCTAAGTTGCTGTACTGACATATTCTGGCTCAATGTCTATTAAATCTGCTTTCTTAGTCAATTGATTTCTCTCAGATATTCTGTCCGAAACAGATTTGAGTCTCTTGGGCTTTTAATTGTAAGAAATTGCCTTAAGGCCAAATGCAGAATCATAATTGCCGTCTCCTTGCACTTTAGGTGTCACACGTCGTATAATGTCAGTGTCACATCAAACAAGTCCCAGTTGCATGTTAAGCGACTCTTACTTCAAACAGCATGCAAGGCCATTTTCAAAAGGATTTTTGTCCAAACACGGATTATTTATAAATTATGTATACATGTTTGAATATATTTGATCGGCTTTGATAGTAATGAAATGTTCAATATTTACAAAGACGGGTTTAAGGTAAAAGGTAGATACACGGCTATGCAATGTTTTGGTGTATGTACTGAAGGTATTTTTAGATTCGGTCATACTCGAGTAGACTTGTCATTGCAGACGAGGGGAACGTCAGGCTATAAACACAACGTTTGACATTTTGCATTTTTCGAAACATTCTTGAGCGTAATTTACAACGATTTTTTGTGTAATAAAGCTATCAGTGTTCAAACATTGGACTACTTTCAAAGGTATTGAAACAGTGAAATATGGGATTTATTTAATATTGGAATTAATTACGACAGTTTACCATAATGGTAGGTTGATGATTATCGTTATGAATTCAGGATTTGTGTTGACCTACATATCTCTGTTAATTGTATGACTAAAGATTTTTCTCTTATCGATAAAGCATTTAAGAAGCAATGGTGCATCCCCTTTACAGCCATTTATTATGCATTTTGATACAAACACATTTAACGATTGATACCTAGAGTAAAGTTTGAAGTGCTTAAACAAATTTAAGTTACATATTACTCACTGTTTTTATCAGTAAGGAAAGGCTTCGTCATTGCAAATTTATTTAAGATATTGGAAGAGTTTCATTTTCATTGAATTGTATGCATTCAATTTTAATCACATGTTTTGTAAGGGAAATATCCTTTACCCAAGAGGGAAACTTGAGACTTGATGTTGTGTTGATGTAGACATCACTGTTTAGGGAATACTTGAACATGTAGAACTTACCGTATGTGTCATATATTGTCTGATATTAGTTAATTAATCATTTTTTTGTGCATTTATATCTGCAGATGCAGCATACAGATTGGTGACATATTTTGGTCATTCCATTTCGTTATCTGTTTTTGGTACAAAGAAACAATGTGGCTTTAAATCATGCTTTCCAAGTGCAATTGCGGTGTCTATTTTATGTTTTAAAAGATGTGCAACAATTGTGGGTGCTTGCATGATTTTATCTATTACTGGGTGTTTTCTTCTTTGTTATTGTAATTATAGCTGTGTTTTTGTTGTTGTTGTTTTTCAAAGTGGTCAAACAAATACTTTGGCCTTCTACCTTAGAATTTTTTATCTTTACAAAGTTTAGACTTGTATTTTACTTGTATAAAATAATAAAATACTTGCCCCATTGCTAAAGAATATCTTTGGTCATGTCTGAAAACTTTCGTATTAAACTGTAATAAGCTAAAATATATTCAGTCTTATCGTTTTAATTTACAAAATTCACATTTTAAAAATGAGATGAATCTCACTCCGACCAGGAGTTCAGAAATTAGCCACTCCAAATAAATACATTTGTGTTACACAAAATAATTTTGTGATGATCGATACTGAACATAACAATATGAGAATGTTGCTCCAGCCTAGAGCATTGTTTGTGGTAAAATAAAGAATAGATTTATAATCTAATATTATAATATAATTTGCCAGCAGCTAGTAATAACTTCTCATGTATCTGATACTGTAGAAAATCCCTCCGTCATTGTTGATGATAATTATGTTGAAATAATGCGTATGTTTGGTGAATGCCCTCCCTGTATGGCTGATAGAGGCTTGTTCTACTTGTCTACCTCATCAGATCTTCTGTTCAGGTAACAGTCAACACAATGAACATTGGTGTAATTTGTATCATTTTATCCCCGGCTATGATGGGCTATTTGCAATTTGAAACTTGAATGGATTCAATGTATAGCATTTTAACTCACTCTTCATGTACATTATACTTTATAAGTTACCTTTACCTATATGAAGGCTCAAATTGTTCTCAAGCAGCTTGGTCTGACTGGTTTTTACCAAATAACTATTACATATACATGTATTATTAAAAAGGTTCAAATATGTTGTTTATAAACTCAGTTTGTTGGGAAGGCTGAAAGACAATATAAAATTTTAGTTGTTGCATTATAGAAATGGCTTTTCAATTTAGGTTTCAATACTAGTTGGTGCGGCATTCTTTGCCAAGTGTTTATGGTTGTTGGCTTCAAACCACTTGCCTTTTACCGCTGTAGGTTCGGGCTGGGCTAGCGTCTTTGGATTTTTTATGGAAGTTGTTGGTTGTGCACAGGTGCTCGAAAAATGCTCAGAGCTTCACTGAAGGTCTTCCTCCACCATAAAGCTGAAAAGTTGCTATATGGCCAACACAGTTTTGAAACAAATTTTCATCTGTTCCGTTAAGCTGGAAGTTGCCGTATGACTTATCTGACAGTATAAATGTAACACACTTGGTCAAAGAAAAAAAACAAATAAACTTTTCCTTATTACACTTTATGACAGCTATAAATGTAAGTGTTAATTGTAGCTATTAAATTAGATTAAAGTTGTCATTTATGTCTGTCAAAGTGCTGATTACTGCTGTATTTTAAACCATGTATCTGTGAATTATATAGTTGTAACACCTGTATTTGACCTGATGGTTGTTGAGGTAAATAGTCATCAATGTCATATATAATTTGTTACCTCTTATAGTTTGTCAATTAGTGATCTTAAAAAAATAAATTAACATGGAAGTATATGGATCAACATGTACATAAAATATAATGATCCACTTTCTTAGAAAAGACAAATGTTGAAGTTAATTAACTATATGTAATTTGAACAATAGTTTGTTATTGAAGATCTGATTGTTTCTGCACCTTATGATCATGTGACTTAGTGACCTCATGACCCTGAAGTCATGTGATCATTAATTTGACATTTATTTGACAGAACAAAAAGATAAACTTGCCAGTGTATAAAACTTGGCCAAGTTTTGTATTGATTTCTATTTATACAGTAAAGATATTGGTATTTTTGTGAAGTGCATAGAAATTCTGAATAAGAATAGAGAGCAGGATTTAGGATTGTAATGTTTTGAATTTCGTTATCACTCCGTGTTTGTAGAATATGTGTACCAGTGACATCGGAATGTGAAAGGTTTTTATACTCCAGCGGTAGGAGTATTTCACCCTGCAGTGTTTACATTGAGCCTGGAGTTTAGAATGCCATTATTTTTGCTTTAGTGCCTGAGTGAAAAATTTCTTTTTCATTATGATATATTGTGTATGAAAATAATTAAAGAGTCATTTCTAAGATCAGTGTATTGGAATTAGGAGGGAAAATATTCATTATGATATATTGTGTATGAAAATAATTAAAGAGTCATTTCTAAGATCAGTGTATTGGAATTAGGAGGGAAAATATGGTGAGGATTGTTTATATTTTAGTCAGGAAGGATTTGTGACATTTTCAAAGTATGAATATTATATACAAAGTGGTTTCAGTAAAGTAATGTATTATGTAAATTACTTTTGAATGTACCAGTATACAGTGTACATAAGTTGATATATTGCATATTTGTCTATTAAAATCACTAACAGAGCTATTAACCTGCAGCAAGTCAAAATGAATTGAGAGTGGCTGCGCTACATGTGGTTTTATGTAATGATAATCATATATGTTAAGCCAGAAAAACAACAACATAATGTGACTTGACATTTTGTAAAACACATCTCATGCACCAAGTAACTTGAAATATGGTTTATGATATATTATTGAAAGGGTGTAAATGTATAGATATATATTAGGGTAATAACATTGAAAGTAAGTGAGATCATAACATTGTGAAATATACACTGTATAATGGTTATAATAACATAATTACAGTCTTTATGGCAAAGATATTTATTATGCTAGAAAACCTTTCCATTGATGCTTAAGAACAATGCGTATTAATGATTCAAAATTTCACAATACAGGATCATTTTCTTTTTTTAATAGTTTTGTTTTAAGCATTTTCCTTTATAAACAGCAAAGAGGTTGTTTTTAGCATATGTAAGACCTGAAACTTTTTATGAATAATATATAAACATATATATTTGAAAGAAAATATTCTTCCTTTGTCTGATGTTGTGCAAATTTTTCTTTTGTCTACATTGTTTTATATGTAGAGTATATTACCTGTCTGGGGTATAAAAATCCATTAACCTGAAGTTACAGGGTAATGTTAGCCACACATTTTTGTTTGCTTACCAAGTTTATCAGCATAGATTGACAAGTATTCATCTACAACTTGTGATAGTACATTCTCCTCAAACTTTAAAAGTAATTGACCTTGTACGCCAGTCAAAAACTAAACAGCTTTTCCTTTCAATGGTCAAGTTTGAAAGACCAGTTTAGAATAGAGATTTAATCCACATTGGATATATATAGAAAAAACTGTGATTCAACGGTCGGTCGTGTCCAGTTTTGCTGAACTTTTTTAACTGGGACTTAGGTTCCAAAAGCATTGTAATCAAAGAGACATATTTGCTGTTACCATTTAGCCTACTTGATTTGTATTTATTATGAGCTATCAGAACAGTCCATTGTATATTTAAAAAAATCAAAATGTTAAAATAAAGCTGATAAGGAATATAGTCAAGTTACAGTACTGCATGGATGTTAAGATTAGCCTGACTGGTTGGAGTTGGTGATTTTTGTGGTAGAAGTTTACCCTGGATCATGGCAGCAAGACAGAGCACAATTTAGGCCATTGGCAAGCTGCAAAGCAGTACCAGATTCCTTCACTTTCTTAAAGAACTGCTAGTTACTTGTGTACATGTCAGGGCAGCTGTACAGTGAGAATGACCATAGGAAGTATTTCGTAGGAAGGATTTCGTAGGGCACTGTCTTGGAATCAGTCATGAGTCGCCTCAGTCTCTGATTAAAAGACCATCGCCCTACAAATTAAGCTATTTGAGCAATGCTCTAAATCTTTTTTTATCAGAGAAGAAATGATTATCAGGCGAGGTTATAGTAAAGCATTATGCCAACCAAAACATTTACTACATAAACTTATAATCTTTTGTTTTACCTGTGATATAAATAATATAATATTTTCAGTACACTATAAGTTCATTTTAGTTCAGTTGTTGAACACTTGCTGCAAACCATTAATTTATACTGAATGCATGATAAAGTGTCAGTTTTCATGTGTGTGCTGCGGCATGAAATACAGCAGTCATGATGTTCAAATGTTTACATGCTTGTTTTTGTTTGAATGGTAGGACAAAATGTCTGAGGTTGACAGTTTATCAGTTGTAATTACTGTATGAATAAAGCTTACACCATTAGATAAAATCAGATCAAAATTCATGATCTGGTCTTTGTATTATTTAATGGTCCAGGCAAAGATTTTGTAGCTATATAATCATTAGAGTGAGACCGGCAATTTACACACTTGATAATCATTTTATAATATACAATATAATTATACAACACTATACGCATGATATATAGCTAACACTCAGTGTAACAGTTTTTATGTCCTCATACTGTTTTT